ATTGGTAAAATATTTAAACATTTAATGGAATACTTTCTCTACAAAATGCTCTTGTGTTAAATTAATACGTTTATCCGGCCATTTTTTGTGACATTTTCAGTGTCTGGAACCCGATGTCTTACTGTTGAGAAGTCTGCTGGATTGTGACCTTCTTTCCTTGACCTTTAAACCAGCACTTTTTAATTCCAAGACTCCATTTTGTCAGTAAGACTGAATAATTAACTGTTCCTGCTTTTACTTTTAATGCTGTGCGTTTTCTGCTGGCATTGTATTATTTGCTTTCTAAGACAGGTCAATTCTAGATCTTCTTACTGTCTTAAAATACACACTTTAAAATGACAGGAAGCCAAGCCTGGGTGGAGAAAGTAGTTTATACTGTGCTTAGCTTTATCTAAATACATTTTAGAGTATGTCAAGGAATTCAAATTCAAATTAGTTAATGCTATTCATGAACATCTGTCAAATTCACAAGAATTTTCACAGGTGACTATGCATAATATAGGGCATAAAGAACATTATTCAAATTGTTTAAAAGAAGAAAAATTAAAATTTTAAGGAATATTCCTAATTTCTCCCAAATTCATGTTGCTTCATTTTTTGACCTATTTCACATTTTAGATGTTTATTCCTAAAATAAGTATCAATATAAATGTCTGAAATAAGGAATGGAAGATTAGAAAGAAAAAAGATTAAAAGGATGTGCTTCAGATCTAGAGATACCAAATCATTTTTTTCATCTCTTCAAAGAGAAAAGTCTACTTTTGAAGATTTCATTTGTGAAATTGACTCTGTACTACATAAGCAATGTTTAAATTCATTGGTGATAAATATGCATGTTGGTATAGTAAAATCCGATTTTTTACGTAATGCTTTAATGCAAATGGCAGTTTTATGAAATAAAACTGACTAGTAAAAATCTGAATGATGCTCATAAGCCCTTACATCATTTTTATTGAGGTTTTTGTGTATTCTGATTCATTAATACAGGGGAAAAGGAGACCACTAACATGGTTTATTTCCTATAATTACTCAAATTGAATAGAATTTTATTTTCAATAAAATTAGAGTAAATTGCCCAGGGTGGGGAAAAATGGGTTGGCCTGTTTTTATAAAATACCTTTTGAGTTTTATTCATGACACTTTGCTGCCTTATCAATGATGTTCACTTTCAAATATTTTTAGTATAGTTTCCTCCAGATTTTTTACAAATAAAAGCCCACGTAAGTCCAAAAAAAGTCTCTAACACTTAAAAGCTCAGGATTGCATATTGAAGGAGAATTCTGGGGTATTTATTTTATCTTGCTTATTACTACAAGTATTATTTGCCTTTTAATAATTTAAGCTACCTTTTAGGTGAATCATGTAGATTGAAATACTATTTAGATTGCTTTGTAATAAGTTAACTGGTAGACTTTCTAAAAACAACTTAGTGTTTACAGTTAAATTTGGTTTATTATTGTGGAATACCTAGAAGAAAAGGTCGATGTAAAGGATAAACACACTTAAACTTACCTCCACCCCCGCGCTCCTCACTTTATGAGGCAGGGTGAGGAGGAAGAGACACGAGAAACTGAGTTGGAAACGTGTTCTTGATTCCGTCACAGTGAGGTCCTGCCAGTGTCCGTGTGCTCTGCTCTTAGTGTACTTCACACCACCTTAGAAAATCTGTGTCTTTTTGCATGTGTTTGTGGGCTGTTATGAATTCTTGGCATTCTGATGTGAAGATGTTTCCATGTTCTTGAGGCAGAATTTTGTTGAAGTGAGTAACTTTAAGCACATACTGGAAAGCTTTAAGGCCTGGTAAGTTTATAAATCACCGTCAGATTATTCGTGAGAATATTGTTTTCCCCTGCAGGCTTTATTGTTTATTTATTTTTACTTTTTAAAACTCTGCTTTTAATTGATTCTTTTTTTTTTTTTATGAAAGTATAGTTGCCACGTGGGCTTTACATTTGAAAGCTAACTCCTTCTCAGGTGTCTCACATTTTTTGTCTGTTTTCTCCTCTCTTCCCCCAGCGTTGTGGGGCCGTTTGAGCTGGAGCTGTGCTTATGTGGCGTTCTTGTGATTGGCACCTTTTATGTGAGTTTCGGGGAATGTGTGCACATGGGGATTGTGCCTTTGTAGATCTGTCTGAGCTTGTGTGTGTGTGTAATTGCTTTCTGTGACTCCACAAAACCAGAGTTGTGTTTAGTTCTTATTTTTCTTTTACCACTGCCCTAAGCAAGCAGAGACTTAATGGGAGCTCAGACTTTCTTCATCTTCACCGTGAGTCAAACGGCATGTGTTGGAGGGTGGAAGAGGGTAGTCATGGAGAGCTGCTGCCTGGGTAATCTCACAAAGACTGCCTCAGCACTGAGTGTCCTGTTTCTCCCTTGAGACTGTAAACTTGATATAAGGATGGAACTTGGTCAGCATCTGGCTCTCCCTCACTGTAGCTGAAAATCCTCTTGGGTCATAGGGTACCCAGGCTCCTGTGTCAGCTTCTTGTTCTCAATATGGAGAGGATGTAGAGTTTAGAGAGGGAGTTGTGTGTGATGGAGTCCGTAGGTGAGTTGAAATACCAGAGACTTTGCCTCTCCCCACATCTGGCCACAGCTGCATCTACAAAATGCCTCCCTGTCGAGACTTCCAGCTTGACTGCCAGAGGGCCAGAGGCAGGGCTTACTGGAAAGGTAGGCAAGTGGAGAAATCCTCCTTGGGCATTTCATTCTTGAAGGTGTCATTGCTCATAGAATGAGGATAGCTTTTAGTATTAGTAACTACAAAACAATAGGTAATCCAGTAGTCTAGTCAATTCCACTATAATTTGACATGTGCCTTCCTAAAAATCACCATCCTATACAAAATAACACAGTAAAACCATAGGATTTACCAGGAGAAAATGAGGTTAGGTGCATTAACGCTCAAAGACTTCGTTGGTCTCACGCACACAAAGATAGGAACCTAATGGAAGCAGCAGCACAGTTGTGCACACGTTAAATGGGTAGGAAGTACATCAGTACCATCATAGATATGGCACTTTGCCTTAACAGAGACCTGACATTGGCCTGTGGAAGTGGCCGTGGGAGAGTTGCAGTCTGTGAGTTGCTGAAGTGGAGGAAGGAAGGTTACCTGAAATCACAGGGGCGTTGTACTCCAGGTGTGGCTGGGAGCGCTCCTGCCCCGCGTGTGCGCTGAGGGAGCTGCCAGGTGGCTGAGACGTGTGCAGTTGTGTGTTTTGTGTGTTTCTGTGCGGCTCAGTTCAGCTGGATGCGGTTTTCTCTGTTCCCTGAGCATTTCCTGCAGACAAAATCACACATAAGCAAATGTGAAATTCGTTTTATGCTCAGATTGTCCCCCTAATATGCACATCAATCACACTGGAACAAACGCACATTTTCAAAATGAGCTTTCAAGCAGAACTGGCTGTGGTTTATTTTATTTTGAAATTGAGTCCCTTTTCCTTTCTTCCTTTTCACTGTTATTGATTTCTTAATTTATATTTAAGTTAAGCCCATATCAAATTGATTTTTCATACCCTGAGTACTTCCAGAGGTGAGAAAGCAGCCTGAGATTTTAATTTTGCTAGTGGTAACCCACAAGGTGGTTTCCTCCTTGGTGAGTGTATCTGAGTCAGTCTCTGTGTCTCTGTCTGTCTGGACACACACACACACTTTTACCAGATGCCAGGCACAGCGCTGCAGATACAGAAACCAGTAAGGCATCATCCTTGTCCTACGGAACCTAGAATCTGATTGAAAATTTTTCAAGGCACAGACTTAAATGTCTTTGTTTTGGGTCTTCTTAGGGAGCAGATGAACCAACTTTAGAGTTTTTTTTTGTATTTCTTAGTTTGTGAACACACAAGCACATACACCCCCCCCAACTCATCTCTTACTTTTGATACAAAGAGTAAAGAGCTTGTGTGGAGGAAGCACGAAGATACCACTGTTTACCTAGTGAAAAGATGTACGTTTGAAAGGGGTTAAAAAGGACCCTAAGAGGTCTTGTACTTCAGCCCTCCTACCTGACTCCTTAAATAAGCCCTCGTGGTCAAGTGTTGGAGGTAGATTGGTAAGTGGAAAAAGAGCAGGTTTCAGAGCGAGTGAATAGTATGACTCATTTATGTTAATCCCTCCTCCCCACGCACGAATGTAAGTACTGTTTGTGCACATAGATGGTGTGGGAGGATCCCCCATACTGTTAATACTGGTTACCTCAGGGGACCAGGGAAAGCTTATTAACTTCCTCTTTATACATCTTTCATTGTTTGGCTTGTTTTAAGAAGCATGTTTTACTTTTTTAATTAAAAAATCTAATAAAGTAGAAAATGAATAAATAATAATAAAAAATACCCTTAGGGCACCGAGCTTTGTTTCAGTCTTCCCAGTAGCCTGGGTAGTTAAAACTGAATGTGACGTCTCAGGTGTGGGCTGCAGCAACACTGTAGTGCTGGGGGGGTTTGTGTTTATAGATCATTAATGCTTTAAAGTCTTTCTTACATCTGCTACTCTTGGCACGCTCTGCCTTTGATAATCATTTTGGTCCCAGGTCTCGTCCTTTACGTTCTCACTGGTAGGTTTCACTTTGTCACTGTGGAAATCAGTGTTCAGCATAGGTTAAGAACTGGCCTTGGATTCGCGCTGCCCAGTTACAGATCCTAACTACCACTAACCAGCATGAAAACTAGACAAGCAGTGTGTCCTCCTGAGCCTCAGTCTTCTCCTCCGGCAGGAGGTGTGAAGCTGTGAGGTCTCAGTGAGACGCTGTGTGCTGGCACCCTGCCTGGGGGAGGTGCCGGTGGCAAGAGGGAACTCGGGGAGTCTCGGCTGTCCTTGCTGCTGCGTTGGCCGCAGCTCATCGCTCCTTCTGTCAGAGCTGGTTTTGGGTCTTGAATCTTCCCTTAACCATCTTCTACATCCCTCCTGACCCCAGACCATAAATGACTCGATCTTCTCAGTGTCCTGATGAGGTCCCAGTCAGTCTCCATGTCATTCCACAGGCCCCTTCACCGACGTTGTCACCACCAACCTGAAGCTGGGCAACCCGACAGACCGAAATGTGTGCTTTAAAGTAAAGACCACGGCACCGCGGAGGTACTGCGTGAGGCCCAACAGTGGGATCATCGATGCGGGAACCTCCATCAATGTGTCTGGTAAGTCCTGAGGATGGAGGCCAACAGGGTGGCTGAAAAGGCCCCTAGAGGCAGGGGGGTTTCTCACAGCTTGTTTCTGCAGTGGAGCAAAGAAGGTGATAGACGTCTCTCCCAAGCCCTCCACCCTCTGATTAAAAAGTTTAGTGGGTCCCACTCACCTGTGGTTTTTCCATAATCAGTGCCTCTTTGGTTTAATGCTTACAGCCATTGTGCCTCAAGAGTTAGAGCAAAATTAAAGTGGTAGCTTCAGACTTGACTTCGGAATGAGTTTGGTTTCACTCCCTTGAAATTAAATCTGCCCTTTGGCAATAAATAAAACAGGGCTAAACAAACTTAATTTTACTTTGTGGGAGAAAGCTAAATGAAGTTATTTTCTTATTTAAGCTAAATGATTTCTGACATTAAGCTCATGTCATTTCCAATGATTGGTAACTGCACTTTACTGATTGTGAAAAGCTAAGGGAGATGAAGGCTGAGGAAATTGGAATATATTCAAGGGTGCAAGTTTTGTGCATGTCTGATGGGTTTTTTCCCCTCTTGTCTGAGAGTGCATATATTTTCCGAAGTCCAACTTTTGAAAAGATGCTGGTAAAGTGCCCAAATTGAGAATTGGATTTCAGAATTAAGGAGATGTAACTGATGGGTTTGAGTCTAAACGTATTTTAGAAACGGAATAAACTTGCAGCTCGTTAGAACTTCTGGATCCAGCAGTGCCTTCTGTATTTGTGGAGGAGCAGTCAGGGAGTGTGTGCTTATCCTCTAACGGTCAGGAGATGCTGTCGCCCACCGAGGGTTCTACATTGCTAGAAGCTGCGACTCATTTGAAATGGGTACCTGGCTGGCTTTTTTCATGACAGATTCTGATTGTGATACATCTGGCTATTCATTTGACACCTAAAAGAAAATGACTCACCTCTTTGGAAAGATACAAGGTGTTTCATTATCTGATCATTTCTGCAAACTCTCATCCCCTCCGTCCACTGGTCTCTCATTGTGGTGTGCCCACACCAGCTGTCCCTTGTGTGCCTCTCTCTGAGACTGCAAGACCTGGTCTGGACTCTCAAATTGAGTTACTATCCAGGAGAAATCAGGAGGGTGGGAGCCAACGTGTATAGAGGGTCCACGCTGCTGCTGCTAGTATCTCGTGTAATTTCTGTTCTCTGCCCTGTGAGGGATGCCCCCATCGTACTGAGGAGACCAGTGGCCATAGGCTCACGAAGCTGGCAGGTGACAGAGCCGAGACGTGAGTTGTTTTGTTTGGCTCTGAAGCCCAGACTCTGAACAGCAGCGTGCTGGAGAAGGGAAGGGACCCAGGTTGTTGGCATTTCTGTGCCCCTTGATCGTATCATTTGGTTTCTGTTTTTCCCCATCATAGGAATGTTTTTTAATATTGGGCATTTGTTTTGATTTATGATTGTCTACTTAACAGGGACTGGGATTTTTGAGGTGGTGGCCTTCCTTTGTAGGTAGGAAGGTAAAGTACAGAGTGTGATCATGACCATCGAGTCACGTGGGTGATGAGTGTCAGAGCTGATATTTGAAGCCATGTGTCTGTCCTGATCCAGTGGTTCTTCTGTGATACTGAGCTGCCTCAACAGTGCTAGGGGATGGCCCCACTTACAAATGAATATAAAACAAAATACCTTGGTTCTCAAAATGTAGGGTGCTTGGGGAAAAAAGCAGTTGAATAATAAAATGTCCTTGTGTCTGCAGGTCGTCCTCCTAAAAGAGACAGGGTTATGTTTACACATGAGAAAAGACTCTTCTGATTTTTTATAATTTTATTTTTTATTGAAGTGTAGTGGATTTACAAGAGGGCTCCTTTGTTTTTATTTGGTGTGTATTGTTCTCAATGCTTGAGGTGCACCTGGGTGAAGCCAGGTTTCATTGCATTTCTAGAACAGCCTCACCAGTTGGCAGAGGAGGCCAGCCTGCATTTGCAGCAGTTTTCTGTGCTCATGGGCCATGATATCACTTATTAGACACTCGTGTCTTGGTGCACTTTTCCAAGAGTCCTCTTGAAATGCAGCTACATGATGACATCGTGGTGAGTATGTAGAAGTTCCTTCGGGAGAGAGACCGTCCTCGGGAGGAGGAGAGCAGCACGCAGGCAGTGCGGCTGGTTCCAAGGCCAGCAGCTTTCCCTTCTCCCCACCTGCGCACATGGCCGAGCTTGGTTTCGCCCACTTGGAGATCACTGGATTTCTGAACCACTGAATTCAGAAACCTGAACAGGAAGCCCACTCTGCTGTTTAACCTGTGGGCTGATCTTTGGCAGATACTTTGACTTCTCTGGGTTCTAGTTCTCTCACCTGTAGAGTGGAGAGAACGGTATTTCCCTCACAGAGTATTTACCAGTGCTGAGAAATTGTAACTGAAAGCATGATACGAGAGTGGGGTTGCATTCTTCTTCCACCAGCATTGACAAAAACTGGCTAGTTTTTGTTAAAGGTAGATTGTACATATTTCAGTTGCCTTTATGGAAACAAATTAATTCCATACATTTTACTAGTTTATGGAATTTTTCTAATTCTAATTTAGAGAAATTTGCATTTTCTTCTTTCTATAATATGCATTTGTTTTATAGTGAAAAGTCACTGGTAAATTTTCAAGTATAATCTATAAAAAGGTGGCCATCAAATCAACTTAAAATACTAGCATTGCCCTGCCTACCACCCTGAATGTCACAGCATACGTGAAAAGGACATGACTAGTACATTGTTCTTCTCCCATTTCTGAAAACCCTTGGGATGTGCTAGCTATTAGAGAAGGTTATAAATCATTCTTTGAGATAGAAGGGCAGGGAGGGAGGAGAAGAGGGAGGAGGATGGTACCTACACATGGAGCTGGCCAGAGACTGAGGTTTTGAAGGCACACAAATCAGGGTTATGATGGGGGACTGAAACTTTGTAGCTGTCAGATGTCTTTCAGACACACCCTGTAAAGCTCTTCTCAGCTGTCAGCTTAATCTGATATTCACAGGACCTTATACATCAAAAGTCCAGACTCTGGCCTGTCATGTCATTTTCTTCAGAAGATGGCAAACCACTTGTTGGATCCTTCACAAAAGAAAAAATTCCATTTTATAAACTCAAGTGGTAAAGTTACAGTTGGAAACAGGTGTAACCTTAACTTTGTGTGTGTGAGAACGTGTGGACTTCCCAAAGGGGTGCTTTGGGATCTGGTCACTCGGGTCTCTGAGTCCTTTTCTTTGTCCTCTGGATGGGTGCTCATTTATCTTGTTCTGATAGCCCCTTCTGGGATCTGTGCCTGTTGGACGAGCCACTGCAGTGGGTGAGGCGGGCTGCTTTGTGTTTGCATTAATTGGCCCAGCATGCCATGGCTTTGGCCCCTTGCTCCTAGTTACACACCGTCTACTAGAGATGATTTTGAAGTATTCAAATCTGGACCTCCGCAAAATAGGCACACTTAAATGGAGATTGGAGAAGAGGAGATTGGATTTTTTCCCCCAGAGATTTTAAATGCAAGGAAAATAGAACTTTTTGAATTAATGAATTGTTTGAAGCAGTGGGGGGTCTCCCCGTTTGTTCTAGCTTTACAAAATCAAATCTATTTTCTGAACTGTCTGGTGGGGAAGTATTTTTAAGGTAGATAATTTCTGAAAATGTCTTTGTGGTAAGCTTTTGTGGTAACGGTTGTGGTTTTTTTTTTAATACTGCAGCTTAATAATGAGGGAGTTTTCCATTAATATTCCAAACCCTGTTTGCCAGCAGATATAGCAGGTGAAGTGGTAAAATTATGGGCCCATCAAAAATACTGACGCTTCCTGTAATACGATATTAAGTTTAATATTTTTATAACCTTCACTGAATTCTAATTTGACTGAAGTAGCAAGCACACTTCCATTTGCAGTTCAGTTATGCACATTGGTTGTACCAAGCGAATTAGAAATGCAAAATATCTGTGTTGGGGGGGCACTGGAAAGAATCATTAAAGACACCAACATTTAGGTACAGATATTCTTAACTAAGTGTACCCTGGGAGTTGAAAATGGATTAAAGACAAACAAATATAAATCTTCTAGTGTCTGAATCTGTATTTTAAATTAAAAGTCAAAGAATCAAGGAGCAGTGTTCATTCCTGACATACAGCCCTTTCCAGCATTTCAATCACATGTAAAGCACAAAGTTCTTCCAGTAAAATCGTGAGACAGGGGATGAATATCAGCAGCTCTTCTTGGATGGAAACATTGGTCAGTTAATGTCAATGGGTAGCACTGGAATTGATAATTAATCCTTTTAGGATTTTGCTGACTCAGTGTAGTGGAGCTGCTCACTTGCCCTGGGCCAGCCAACCTTGGGCTCCAGCTTTAAGTGATTAGCACTGGAGCGCAAGTGTGCTGTCCTTAGAGAAAGAAGCCAGGCCTTCATCTGTCAAGTGCTGATAGTGGGAGCTAAATTCGGGAGGTTTGGGCATCTTAACAGCAACATTCTTCTTCGTAAGATCATTTGCTTTGAAAGTCTGTGATAAACGAAACCTTTTTATAAATTGTTTTTGTGAACCTGTTTTATTACTCTCAGGTAAGAACAACTTAACGTTCACACTTAAAAGATGTCTTAATTTTTTTCACCACATGAGATTCTGGTTTAAAAAAGTGGAGGGGAACATTATCAACAAAAATTCAGCTTAATTGTGCTTTTAAAGACTTTTAAAAAGTTTACTGTAATATTTAAGTTTCTTAAGAAGAATTCTGTGTTTCATTTTTTTATGATTATAACACAGTTTTCCTTGTTTCTACATTTTCAAAGATCATGACCAGGAGGACTTAGCAAGTACATTCAGTCCACCTCACTTAGCTGAAGGCAACTTCAGCTCTCTGCAGCAGGACTGAGGAGCAAAACTAAGCACAGCTTTGGAGTAGCTGACAGTCATGTTCTTCTCACTTGGGAGAGTTCCTTGCACACTCACACACACGGGCTCCCTAGTCTTGACTCCCCTGTATATGCTTTTCCTTTAGACTCCCTGTTAACCCTGTCCTG